GTAGCTACTTGTCTGCTGTGCGTTTTGTATGGCGTCTGCAGTCACCACTCAGCACACACACACACACACACACACACACACACACACAACTGTTGCGGCCTGAGCGGATCCACCGCAAGGAAGGAAGGAAAAGAATGACCGAGTGAGCAGCACATGCTCAAGATGTCCCGGCGTTTGTTTTCTTATTCGGTGCAGTTGCCTCTTCTCTGCGTGCTGTTGATATGCTTTGGAGGCACTTGTGCACGCTGAAGGGACTGAGTCGAAGGAGTTTGAACTCTTCAAGTTGGGGAACGATGTGGTGCTCTCCGCTGGAGAAGGGGGAAAATTGAACAACGTCACAAGAGCGTTTCCTCCTTCCAATGCCATTCCCTCGTTGAGGCGGATGGTGTGATGGTTGCGCTTGCTCTGGCTGCCTACAATGACTGCGGCGCCGTGTATGCTGACATTTGGGCAAAGTTGCAGCCATACAGAGACGGCAATAAGTTTGTACAAGACGCTACTCGGGAAGAAAGGCGGGAAACGCAGCGTGTGACCAAACTTTTTGAAGAAGAGGGTCGCGATAGCCGAGTGCCGAGCCCCAAGGCTGTGGTGAAGGAAAACAAAAATATTTTTTCTTGTTGTGTCAAGCAGCACCTTGACCGACACCATCTCGAACTCTTTGCTGCGTGGGTTCCACAGGCATTTTGGGTTGGTTGTTGGTGAGGTTCAGAAGACTGCGGGGAAGGATGGGAAACAAGTCTTATGGAGGAAGATCAGCTTTCCGAAGTCTACGCATGACGCGCCGATGCAGTAGCATTCGTAGGAGGGGCTGGAAGCTGTTGCTGGGCCCAGAGGCACTGTAGTTGGGGGCAGTGCGATTGTCTTTCCTCTTGTGGCAACTAAATACCGCCACGAAGGAGGAATGACACATGCCTGCACCGTCATCTACACTGAAAGCGATGTCGGGAGTCGGAAATTGTCCGAGGAAGCTGAGATTTCCAATGACTGCGCTTTTGCCACGCTTTTCGCGTGGGAGGGGAAAGTCGTCATGGTCACTGTAATCTCTTCTTCCTCGTGGCGGCGCAGGGTGTACGAATCCGCTGACAATGGGAAGACGTGGACAGAGGCTACCGGGCTACTCTTGCGCCTGCTGCAAGACGCATACACATTGCGGGACCTCTACGATTTTGTGGGGCTCTTGACAGCAACCATTGAAGAGAGAACTGTGCTGCTGTGCACCGAAGTGGTGTCGCTCATTCGTAATGCACGGGGAGAGGCCATTCCATTCAGTGCCGAACACAAAGTAATCCGTCACTGACCCTCTGGTGGGGCTAATATCTATGATGTTGGGCCAATATCGGCTGATGATGCGAGGATTCCCTCTATTAGCTCGTTGCTGTACGCAAAAGATAGGTTGTTTGCCCTCTACTTGGAGAAAAGTGAGCGTGCAATGCTGCAGAGTTGCGTTTTCACCTCCCTCCCGGAGCAACTGCGGCACATCAAGACTGTGCTGAACAAATGGAAAGAGATGAATGACATGGCTTCAACGCTTTGGGACTCCACCACCACTGCCTGCGTCGGTTCTGTGCCAACGGCCGGGCTAGTTTTTTTTGTCTAAGAATGCGAACACTACTCACTGGAATGACGAGTACCTTGGGGTCAGCGCCACGGTGTCTACGGGAACGACGACGAAGGTTGAGAATGGCTTCCAGTTGGCAGGGCGTGGTGCACGGATTGTGTGGCCAATGGGCAGGCAGGAGGATAATCCAGTGCAGAGTTATGTGGGTGAGGAGCTGACGCTTGTGGCGACGGTGACCATCAGCAAAGTTCCAACGGGCCTCACTTCGTTGCTGGGCGTGAACACGGTGGGTGGCCCCAACGGGAAGTATCTGGGGCTGTGGTACGACGAACGTTAGCACTGGAAGACGATGCTTGGGGAAGAGGAGAATGCACCAGCGGTTACGTGGGAGGTGGGGACGGCGTACCAAGTGGCGCTCACGGTGCAGAAAGCCGGCTGCTCGGCGTACGTCGACGGGCAGCTTGTGGGGAGTTTGGGGGATCAAGGCGCATCTCCTTTGGAAGCCCCACATTCCTCTGGAGTTGGTCTTGCGCGGCCTCTGCTGGGAATGTCACCTGAAATGATCTCAGACATCTACTTTGGGGGTTACGGGGACGGCACCGAGGAAGACGCAGGGAGCCACGTGACGGTGACGAACGTCTTGCTGTACAATCGCTGCTTCAACGGCAGTGAGATTGAGGCACTAATGAGGAGGGAAGAGAGCGGGACGGTGACGGAAGTGGAGAAACTGCCCCCGCCCGCAGCACCCCCCACCAGCGACCCGGCGGGTTCAATGCACGGTGTGACTGGCAGTTCCGCAGGGGAAGTGCCGGACCACGCGATGCTCCGGCGCCAGGCCTGAACAACGCCTCCGTCCCACATGCCAAGAGGGTTGCGGAGGCAGCGCCAAAGGAGGTTGGTGGCGGTGACAGTTCTGTGCGTGGGCGTCTGTCTGGGGTGCTGTTGCCGCTGCTTCTGCTGCTT